CATACCTTTCGTTGTATATATGTCCTCAAATCCAAGATATAGGCTCATAATCACTTCTTCACTAGGTCTCTATTAAAAAATGAATTTTTTTACATCAAGTTAAATTAATGATAAATCTAGATTTATTGTAGCAAGAAGTACTTGAATAAAATTTCATTTCCCAACAGGAACAAATGTTTCCTTATAGTCGATTCCAAAAGTTTGGCTATAAGACAAGTTTTGAATGGCTCTATACTACCATTTGGTTTGTGATTGGTTGAAAAAATCCATCTTTATCCAACTGCACCCATAGGATTCACATTTATTTTTTTCAAGACAATGTAATTCTTCTAGAGTGGCGGCTTTACATAAAAGTTTGCTCCTTGAACTGTGTTAGGAGTATGTATATGATCTAAAGAAGCCACAAAAGCTCTAAAAAATGGGGACGAATTAGTGTAGAGACTGCAGTGATGAATTAGTGTAAGATAAGTGTTCCTTAGAGACTGCGAGCCTTCACCCACAGAGCTGCCCCTTGGGGATACTCCACATGAGATATTAGCATTCAACTTTAACTGAAGCTATCTTAAGGTCAAAAACTGAAGTTAAAGATTCTCAACACAGTACTAAAAGCTCAATAAAGTAAAAGTGAGGGAGCACCTGCCATCATCACGAATAAATCCTTGATGCCAAAGTGGAGTGACTTGAAAACCTTCCACGACCTTTTTATTGAACTCCTAAAAACGGTTGCCCACAATATAATATAAAGTCATTCACAACCTCTGTCAGAAACAATAATAGTTGAAGCAAGAAGAGATTCCAGTCTGACAAATTTTCTCTCGAAAAAGATACACAAATCACTCATGAATTAATTGAACTTATATAAGACTATAAGAGAGAGAAAGAAAAGACCAAGTCTCAACATTAAATGAAACAATACATTCTAAGAAAGCATCTCAACCTCTGGATGAACTTCCTTGTTTGGAGGCTTGAACCCTCCTTTAGATGCAAAACAGTTGCCCAGACTCAGTTCATGCCTACCTATGCATTAAAAACCCAGCATTAGCGTCATTTTTCAAAAAAATACATGAATAATATATCTGAAAACCATAGACTGTATAAAGAGGTTGAGACCTCGTTTAAAAATGTATTCTGAGATTCGAAGGACATGAAGTTGATGGAATTCGAATTATGAATTTACTATTTTGGCAATGCCAAGGGAGTTTCAAGAGCTCCCCCTCTCCACAATGCTCAACAAGAGCTACAATCCAACCAAAATATATGGAAGTTTTTATCCACTCATACTTTTGTCATGAAATAAGACCTCAATTTTTAAAAAGAAATGATCTCACTAAGGAAGCATAGTAAAGGAAAACTAAGAAAAGAAGATAGGTTTGATATCAAAACTTACTTCCCCAAAAGTTTTGAGACTCTTCAGAGTATTGGCATATGTATTTGTCATAAGCACCAAGAATCTGTGCTCCAACTCCTGTAAACCTGGGTCCATGTTGTACGATTTCGGGTGTCGTTAATTTCTTAGGAAATGCAGGGTTCTCCACAGAGTACATGAAACAGAAACTCTGCCTCTTCTGTGGAATCGATACCTTGAAGTACCAACCTTCAAAGAATTTCCGAGTACTCCCATCAAAGTGATACCTGATTCAATACGAAGTACGGAAAATTGGAAAATGTAAATCATTGATTGCCACATAACCATATACCATGAGATTAACCATGATGCAGCCATGATCTAAAGAAGAGTAACGATTCACCTCAGATGACATAACAAAAATAAGGTTACACCAGGTTCAAATGCTCCAAAAGGAATCTAGAAACTGTAACTGATCGAGTTAAACATTGTATGCTTCCACCTTTAAACAAAGAAACACCCAAACTAGTTCAACTACTGATAAACAAAGAATGTGAGGTTGTTTGTGAGGAAGGATAAAAAGGGGAAAAAAATCATTAACAACCTTTTATCCTTCAAGTTTGGTGAGTTATGACCAGTTAACTCATCTTTAAAGGTACAAATATTAAACTTTGATCATCATTCTTTCTTACAATAGCTCCAGCATCTTCCCAGTTTCCCCAACTCTTCCACTCCCGCTGCTCTCAGTCCACAACTTTCTATTTCTCTTTCACTCATCTTCACACACTTGATTACCGTTTCAGGAGCCTTCTCCCTATTTCCCTCGATAGCTCAGCCACCGCTAGCAGATATTGTCATCTTTGGGCTTTCCCTTTCAGACTTCCCCTCAAGGCTTTAAAACGCGTCTGCTGAGGAAAGGTTTCCACACCCATATAAAGGGCGTTTCGTTCTCCTCCCCAACCAATTTGGGATTCTCACACCTCCACTGGCTCCAATCATAGTCGACTGATTTTTTGCTCTCTCATTCTACATTTCCTTCAATTTTTGCTCCATTTTTCTATGCCATCTTTTAGCACAGCTCATAGTTCTCATTAATTGGTGCTTTTCTTCTGCTACATCAGAGGAGATAAGCTCCCTTTAAGCCATACATAACTTGTTTTGAATACTTGTTGTATCTCTAGCATTTGTTGGTTATTGGTTACAAAACAGAGGATGAACAAACAATTCGTGAGACGGAACCTGAATGTTGATGGTGACCACTGGGCATTTAATTGAAGATGCATACAGATAACAGTGTGCACAGATACAAAACAATGAGGGGTTCAAAGATACATGCAACCCATTCGTGAAGCCGCCTCAACCATTCAAGTGAGCATTGACAAGAAATTAGGAACTAAGACATTTATGCTAGATGTGAACCTTCGTTAATGGAAAATTTAGACAGCGTTTTACCCGCTGTGAGGAGTCCGCAGCTCGCGATTAGCTGGCGTGGGCTGATAGCCAGGAGGGCAAACAAGACCTCCGTCATCATCGTTCTCAATTTTGGCCGACGCAGAAGATTCATACACAGAGTTCGAACTGGAAGCCAATACTCGGATTCTCGATCTTGATTTCAACTTTAGCTTCGAAGAACCACCCCATCGATGACGAAATGAGCTGGACTTCAAAGATTGAGGAACCTTCACCGCGAACATGGACTTTCCAGCTTGAACTTCCATTGAATTGGAGTAGAAGTGATGAATTCCACACAACGGTAGATTGCAAGCAGTTGCATCCATCTCAATTGCCAAAAAATGGAACAAGATGAATTCGGGCGAGAGTCGTGCACTATATATAATTTTGTGGATCAAAATCTGCCTGCATGGCAAGGATGAATTGCGAGGGGCCTGAAGAAACTGAATCACAGTCGCAGGATCACCTTGGTCCGGTCAATATTAAGATTTGGATGAGATAAAAGAACAAATAAATCTCTATCAATAACTACTCGCAGACAAATTAAGTCTATTGTGTTCACTCTCGTCCTACGACCAGCGCTGCCGTGCCGTGCCGTGCTGCTACTATCCAACAAGGACGTCCGGTGGATGGCAAGTGTCAAACGGCGGAGCCCACTATATGAAATACCTATCCATTTCCAACCCAACATTTACTGGGCAATCCCACGTCAACTGGAAAGAGGAACGAATGAGAGCTAGGAACCTATGCAATTGTGAGATCCCACTAAGTATTGATGTGGAAACCTCTCCCAATAAAAGTGTTTTAAAATTCTTGAAGAGAAACTAGAAAGTGAAAATACAAAAAAGAACAATGTTTGCTGGCAGTGGGCTTGTGCTGTTACATTGTCACTCCTATCTTATTTGATAGATCGAATCAAGTCTAGTTAAATCAAGAATGTGATAAGATAAGGAATCACTGTAAGTAGAGTAAGATTCAGATTACCTTGTTGATCTCACTCCACAAGCAAGATCATCATATCTAGCTTGAATGATCCTTGTTGATCTCACTCCACAAGCAAGATCATCATATCTAGCTTGAATGATCCTTGTTGATCAAATATCTGAAGGCAATAACACTTGATTGAGGTTCGAATCACTCTACCAGCAAGATTGATCATGTCGAGTTTAAATGATTCTACATGCAACCTAAACTACATAGAATTGCAAACAAACTTAGCTAAAGTACAAATGTTTCTTTTACTATATTTTCCAAGTCTCTCACAAATATAACATACATGGCTTTATATACTCTTAGAGTGAAACTATTAAAAACATTCCAAGAGTTCGTAACATTCCTACTTGATAGCCATAATTAACCGTTATGTAATTGTAATCTACCTTAAATAAAAAATCTTAAAATACATTAATGAAATACAATAACTCTAAATTACTCTAAATTGTAATTTACCTAAAATTTATAACCTGAAACTTCATTCTTGTTCAATGGGCATGAATTGAAATATCTTTTGATAATTTCAACAATATTTTTCTTCACATATTCATTGAAGTATAGTGTATGATTGATATCTCTTGGTTCATATCAGAATGTGTCAATTATGATAAGTTTTTCTAGTTCGTATGTAAGATCGTTATAGATCATGATCGAGAAATCCACTCTCGACGTCCATTTAGTCATCACATTGGTCGCTTCAATTCGAGTATAGAGTTCCGATCTGTATTGGGAGGGGGGTTGAAGTAATGGATCGAGTCTTGGAGCCACAACCAGAACTAGTTATTATACTTGACATGGCTCCCAATTCGTTGGATCGTAAGTGAGAGGCGACTTACTTCACAGACAAGGTCTCTACTTGTACGGATTCGGGGCACCGCCCAATAGTTCAATCTCCCACTCTAACAATTGTTTAACTAAAATACACAGTTCACCTCACGTGTAAGCAGTTAATTACTATTTTAAAGCTGAAAAAAATCATCTCTACTATTTAGTTATTAAACTTATTTTTTTTATTATTTATTGTCGGGTTTTAAAATATATATTGAAATAAAGTTATAAATCATAGATTTTTATTTTATATATTAATATTATACTTTTATTAAAAATAAAAATTTCATAAATGAGCATAGAAAAAAAATAATTAATTTAAATATATAAAAATCTCATTAAATCTTAGTTAAGAGTACATTACCAAATAAGTTCTCCGAAGGAAAATTCGGGAAAAAAGAGGGAAGAAAATTGGGTTTATAAATTGGGTTAGCGCCGGCTTAAATAAACCACTGGGTCATTGGCATCGTCGTTCGACCGAGCTCCTCGTTCTTCTCAGATCTCTCTCGGTCACTCACTGCCAGAAGGGGAGAGTTGAAAGTCGCCATGGTTTTGACGGTGAAGGTTTATCTTCTTCTGTTCGTTACATTATTTGCATCACTCGCGAACTATGGATTTTCGCTTTACGAAGATCAGGTTGGCCTTATGGACTGGTGCGTTGCCCTCTCTTGAGCTCTTATTCCTCAGCTGTGCTAGGTTGGCTAGGAAATTTGTGGAAAAGTTTTGATTGGAGAATTTATCATTCCAATTAGATATACGCCATGCTTGACCTGCTAGAGTAATTGATCTATTCGTTTTCTCGATATATTTGTGTATATACTGACACAAAATACTTGGATTGCTCCGAATCCATTCGAGTTAGTTTCTCGTTTGGATTCACCTGTTTATTGATACTTTTCTTCGAAATGTTCATCAGTATCTCAAAATAAGGGAGGCCTTGGTTTATGTCGTGTATCTAGTTTGCGTCCTATTGATTGCATTGTGACTCTTATCCTGCTCGTGATTAACTTGGAATGTCTTTTCTCAAATTCAGATTCTCAATTGACTGTTTTCCCTCTAGCTTTTAGTTGAATTTTAATAGCTTTGAATTATTCATCCATTCAATTCAATTTGTTAAAGTTATGAAGTGATCCCTCGATTATAGGCGTCAGCAGTACTTGGGGAAAGCGAAGCACGCGTTATTCCATTCTTCAAAATCGGGGCGAAAGCGTGTAGTTGTATCCACAGAAGAGAATGTAATTGCGTCACTTGATCTTCGGCATGGCGAGATTTGTGAGCTTAACATTCCTTTAGCATTTTTTTTTCTTAGTGGGTTTACCAATAACCAAATGACTTAGGAAGCTGAATTGAAATTCTTAACTACGTAGGCTCTAACTGAACCTTTGCTCTAAACAAACGGAAGAAAAAATTGTTTAATCCCCCCCGATAATGAGCTAAGGTGCCCAATCTGCAATGGATGCTCTTGTTATAGCCCATAGTATTTGAGAAGATGGGAACCAATTATGTAACATATTAGTCGAGAAGTCGAGTTTTTACATGAAAACAATGTGTTTTATTAGAGCTACCCATAATAATAATCTTGCAAAAAATGAAAGTTAAGACAATGAAATTCCATTTTTCTATCTAAGTTTTGGATGATCCAATTATTTGAATTGATTCATGTACTAACAAGGTTGAAGAAAGAATACAACGTTGCTTCTGGCGGTGGTGGAAGCTTTCTTTTTGAAAATAGTTCATTTGTCTTTTATTCAAAGTCTTACCTTCTAATTGTTTTTGTGCAGTTTGGAGACATGTCCTTGGCCCCAATGATTCCATTGATGGAATCGAGTTCGTTCTTGGAAAATGTAAGGCCTTCACATTTTTTTTTATCCATATAATATTTCTCCAGAGTACTATTTCTGCCATTTTGAACATTTATTTGAATTGCTTATTGTGTACAAAGGAAATTCCTCTAGGAGTTTGGTAAAAAGTACGTGAATATGCTGATTCTTTTGAAGATCTTAAATCTTACCCTCAAGTCATCTATGCTTAATTCTAATGTCCTCTGTGGTGTATGAATTTTCCTCTACTGTTCCACCTAAATTATCACTCAAGGGGTGTAACTCCTGTGTCACGACATCAGTATTTTTTTTAAAAGAATGCTACTCTCTGATGGTTGTTGATCCATCATTATTGTACAAATGTGAAGTATACTTAGTTCTTCCTGTCAGTTATTAATAATGGATACTAATTAAGCTCACATTTGGTCCTTTATATCTGTTGAAATACCAATTAAGCTTTACAATTCCACTTTTAGTATGCCACTTAAATATTTAACGAAATGATGTCAGATGTTGTTTCTCTTTCATCGGAGGGGAATTTTTTAAGAGCGTGGAACCTTCCTGATGGTCAGATGGTGTGGGAGACTTTTCTTCAGGGAACCAATCCATCAAAGTCACTGCTATTGGTTCCAGTAAGTGAATATCACTTAAGGATTTGATTTTTTATTTGCTGCTTCGAGTTGTTATGCATTGTTTCTCTTCCCTATTTAACAAAATGTTGTATTTTCTGAATTTGATTCCTTTCATCTAAGTGGATCAACTGGTGCTAAGCCAATTTCTTCTATATTCTTTTTTTTTTTTTTTTTTTTCTCTCTCTAGTAACTATTTGATTAATGTAAGGCATAAAATTTGCAGAAAAGTTTGAAAGCCAACCATGAGACTGTGATCCTAGTTTTTGGTAGCAGTTGTCTGCATGCTGTCTCCTCCCTAGACGGTGAGGTTATTTGGAAGATTGACTTAACAGAGAACAGGTATTTCAAATGTGGAGTTTGTGCCAAGTTTTATTTCTTTTGAAAAATGTAAATCACTGTGCCACTGATATCATTATTGATTTTATCACCGTTTCAGTGTTGAAATTCAAAAAATCATTCAACATCATGAAAGTGATACCATTTATGCTGTGGGATTTTCAAGTCCAACTCAGTTTGATCAGTTTCAAATAAATGTTAAGAGTGGAGAGTTGGTGAAGCACCATACGGCAACATTTTCTGGTGGCTTTTCTGGAGAATTAGTATCAGTTTCTGATGATGTGCTTGTGACATTGGACGCCACTAAGTCAAATCTAGTTATAATAAACCTTAGGAATGGTGAAATTGGGATTCTACAGACACCTATTGCACATCTCATTGATGAACTTTCTGGGTCAATTGAAATAGTGCCTTCAAAGCTTTCTGGGTTATTTGCTGTTAAAGTTGATTCTCGTTTAACATTAGTACGAGTAAAAGGAGAAGGTGAGTTGGAGGTGGTGGATAAAATTCACAGTCAGGCAACTCTAAGTGACGCTCTCTTGGTTTCAGAGGGCCAGCTTGCAGCTGCTTTAGTGCAGCACGAGGGAAGTCATGTGCATCTAACTGTCAAGCTTATTGATAACTGGAGCAGTAATTTTATCGATGAAAATATAGTAATTGATGGTCACAGAGGAACTGTCCAGAAGGTTTTTTTGCACTCTTACATTCGGACAGATCGGTCACATGGTTTCAGGGCTCTACTTGTCATGGAAGACCATTCGCTGTTATTAGTACAACAAGGTGAAGTTGTGTGGAGTAGGGAAGATGGCCTTGCCTCTATTGTAAATGTAGTAACATCTGAACTGCCTGTTGAAAAAAAAGGCGTCTCTATAGCAAAGGTGGAGCACAATCTCATTGAATGGCTGCAGGTATGCAACTCTTTCAAAATATTATGAACTAAATTATGAACAAGCGATAATGTTCTCTAAGATTAAAAATCATTATTATATACATAGTCAGCCTACTATTTGGTTCCTTTTACTCGGTAGTCTCTAGTTCGAATATTTTATTATTTTTCTTGCTCTGGTTAGTTGATTAAAAACGAAATTTTGGTATTTCTTGAAATGTTTCCTACCTGACAAGATGCCCTTTGATATGTCATGTTCTTCAAAGGGACATCTGCTGAAACTCAAGGGGACTTTAATGATTGCAAGCCCTGAGGATGTAGCAGCTATTCAAAATATGAGGTTGAAGAGTTCTGATAAGAGCAAAATGAGTCGGGATCACAATGGATTCCGAAAACTGCTTATTGTTCTAACTAAATCAGGAAAACTCTTTGCATTGCACTCTGGAGACGGCCGCATTGTCTGGTCTCGTTTACTGCAAGCTTCCCATAAATCAGAAGCTTGTGCTCCAAGATGGCTCAATATTTATCAATGGCAAGACCCCCACCATCGTGCCATGGATGAGAATCCATCTGTGCTCGTAGTAGGCCGTTGTGGACAAAGTATGGATGGACCAGGTTTACTTTCATTTGTTGACACTTACACGGGGAGGGAGATTAGTTCATCGAGCCAGATTCACTCGGTTTTACAAGTTATTCCACTTCCATTCACTGATTCAACAGAGCAACGCCTCCATATTTTAATAGATGCTCAGAGCCGTGCTCATTTGTATCCACAAACCTCTGAAGCTATTAGTATCCTGCAATCCGAATTTTCAAACGTATACTGGTATTCAGTTGAAGCTGACAGTGGCGTCATTAAAGGACATTCGTTGAAAAGAAACTGTATCGATGTAGCGGATGACTACTGCTTCGAGAGCAAGGATGTTTGGTCGATTATACTTCCATCCGAGTCAGAGAAAATCATTGCGACCGCTGCCCGGAAATTAAATGAGGTTAGACACTATAATTTTGTGGATTAGTCCATAAGATATTTTTCTTGGTAATCTATTTACTTATCATTTAATTTGCCAATGCATTTTTTGAAGTACTGTGGCGTGTTTGTTTAAGTATTTTAATACCTCTCTGTCCTTTTAGCAAATATTTATGTAATTTTCATATTCTAGGTGGTTCATACGCAAGCAAAGGTTGTAGCAGACCAAGATGTGATGTACAAATATATATCAAAAAATCTGCTCTTCTTGGCAACTGTTGCACCAAAAAGCAGTGGTGAAATTGGAACTACTACCCCAGAGGATTCCTGGTTGGTTGTATATGTTATCGACATTGTTAATGGTCGTATATTACATCGTATGACCCATCATGGTTCAACGGGTCCCGTCCATGCCGTGAGTTCACCAATCTAATTGCCCACTTCCATTGTGTATAGATGAAATTTTCTCACAAAATTTGTATGTTATGTAGGTATTTAGTGAGAACTGGGTTGTCTATCACTACTTCAATCTTAAAGCACACAGATACGAGATGTCGGTGGTCGAAATTTATGATCAATCTCGTGCGGTATGTGAATGTGTACTAAGATTTTTATGACATGATCGACGCTCTATGTAGGTTCACGTTATCTGAGACAATTTATTTTGCAGGACAACATAGATGTCTGGAAGCTTATTATTGGAAAGCATAACCTGACTTCGCCAATTTCGTCATATTCTCGACCCGAAATTTTGGCCAAATCACAATCCTACTTCTTCACTCATTCTGTGAAAGCAATATCAGTTACATCAACATCTAAGGGTATAACATCAAAGCAGCTTCTGATTGGTACAATAAACGATCAGGTTAACTTCTGAAACACGTGATTGCTTGGTCTTTGTTCCTCATTTCGATATCTTTTGCGGGATGCGTTAAATGTGAGTCATTGCAGATTTTGGCTCTCGACAAACGTTACTTAGATCCTCGACGATCTATCAATCCCACACAAGCTGAGAGGGAAGAAGGCGTTATACCTCTCACCGATTCCTTGCCTATCATTCCTCAGGTGTGTTTATCTTCTTGCATTTTGCCTATCATTTCTCAAATTACTCCTAGAATGATTAAGTGACATTAGGATATTAGATATTAACTAGAAGATAGAAATCCTTGGATTTACAAAGTAATTGGAAGCCATTGCTTTTGATAACCAATGTGGACCAGACCTGATTGTCTGCAGCATTTCATTAAGCTGGCATAATTGGTTTGGACTGGGTTGTGTTTTTGTGCAGACCTACGCAACGCACGCGCTTCAAGTCGAAGGTCTTCGAGGTGTCGTGACTATACCAGCCAAGTTGGAGTCGACAACCCTTGCATTTGCATACGGAGTGGATCTCTTCTTTACCCGGATTACGCCCTCGAGAACATATGATTCGCTAACTGAAGATTTCAGCTATGCTCTACTTCTCATAACTATCGTCGCTCTCGTGATCGCCATCTTTGCAACATGGGTTTTTTCTGAGAGGAAAGAGCTCCAAGATAAGTGGAAGTGATCTCCCTCAAAAGAAACTAATCTTCATTTCAGGATAGTTTTTAAATCCTCCATGTATCTCTTATTTTAGGCACGCCAAGCTTTAGTCATCCTCTTTTCTGTTGAGCGCGCAAGTTCTTCATCATCATTATCATGTTTTTGCCTAGATTTATAAATTAATTTGTTCGAATATAGATGGACAATGACTTGCTAGTTTCTTACCTTTTGATTTTATGCTTGTTTTTGTAATAAAACACATATTTTGACTGTCCTTTTCAGGTGATAAAAGTACAATTTTTGGAATTGATCCCAATCCCTAAGAGGCTTTGTTTTTATTTTATTGTTTAAATTACAATTTTGTTTCCTATAGTTTTGAAAAGTTAAATTTTTGTTTAGGGATAACGAAAATTTTTATCCACTTGTTCAAACAAGTCGGTTGTAAGAAATTCGGACGTCGAGGACAATGTCGGTGTATGTTCGGGCCTCGAGGCACGTTGTGAGAAAAGATTTTGAAAACGAATAATTTGAAGAATTGAAGAAAACAACGAGAAAATAAATAAATACTACGGCTTAAATAGTATATAACTCATAGGAAAAAGGGACAACGTCTACCGACCCTTCAACAAGCTTATCTTTGCCACTTGTCTATTTGATGTTTCTATATGGCTTAAGTCTCATTTCCTCTTCAATGCATATGTTACATAGTGTTGGATGATGCACCGTCCTCTTCGATTGCATCATGGCATTCTTCAATGTCCATACGTGGCCGGATGGGTGCCTCTTGAAGGTAACCACTACATGGTGTGTTGGATGATGCACCATCCTCTTCGATCGCATCGTGGCATTCTTCTATGTCCATACGTGGCCGAATGAGCACCTCTTTTGATTGAATCATGACATTCTTCTATGATATGTGGCAGGATGGGTGTCTCTTGAAGGTAACCACTACATGGTGTGTTTGATGATGCACCGTCTTTTTTAGTTGCATTGTGACATTCTTCTATATCCATACGTAGCGGGATGAGCGCCTCTTGAAGGTAACCATAGAACTATTTAGTTTTATATAAATTATAGTGTCTGTAATTTAACTGATTTTCTTAAGCCTATATTTTTTTCGGTTAGTTCACTCTAATTTCTTGGAATTGTAAAATGAAACATCCACATAAAATTCTGTGCTTATCAAAGATGTCGTCAACTATGGTGACTGTATTTAATTCAACTATCTTAATATTCTTTTTTATTATTATTTTAATTTTGTAAATTTTTTGAAAAAGTATATTACGTTCCACTCTAATAAGAAAAAAATTAATTTCAAATCATTATATAAAAAATAAATAAATAAATTAAACTTTGGCATGCATTTGCATTAAATATAAATAATAGGTTGCTTGAGAAGTTTGAATTCATATAATCCAAGGCTTAATCCATAAAATTAATAATTAATTAAGGATTTTACCTGTAAGAAGAACAAGAGAGTAAATATGAGAAATTCTTCAAGCCTACTTCTAAAGTAAATCAGGGCTTGATCTGTTCTTATAATGAAGAGTTCGTCCAAATTTGAAGTCTTCAGCTCCAATCATGTATATATTTCCTGCTTCTGGCAAGCTAAAATCAGCAGGATTTCTGTTGACGCTACATATTTCAGTCTCAAAACTGCTTTTCTGGTTTTGCAGAGCTCTAGTATCGGCCATGGATTTGCATTCCTTGGAGTTTCTTCCAATCTGCTGCACCAACGGTTCGGCATTAGGTACATTTACTACTCCTTTCTGTACGCGATTATCAGGAAATGTTCTACACGTAGATCGATCCGAGCATTTCATGTTCGCGCTATTTCGAGACTTGAAGACAGTCTGACCGGAAACATTGGTATTGGTTCCAAATCCTCTACTATGCTGGAAGTTACTAGCAGATGCAGTGGTTGCAGGAGTATGAACTTCATCATGAACAGCAGAATTGACAGAAAACTCGTTGCGTTTTAGTGGACGAGGAATCGGAGGTTTCTTCGATGATTTTCGCGTCCGACCTCCAGTCGTGTGTTCATTCGATCGCATTCCGGAATCCATGAGGCTAAGTAAGTGCATTGCTAATATGCTTTCGTTTGAGTACAACTCCAATGAACCAACCAGATTTTGTTCAAGCTCAATCCCATTAGAACGTCGACGAAATGAACTCTCTGCTAATTTCTGTGCCTTTGCGTTTCCTATCTGTAATGATCTAGGGCTTGAGATGTTTTCTCTGCCAGTAAAATGCGCCGGAAATCTCTGAAATCCGTTCGGCAGATGATCTGGTATCAAAGAAGAAGAAGAACGCCATGTATGAGCTACTTCTTTATTCCGTTCTGAAATAGGCAAATGGTCTATTGTTCCATTGCGTTGTTTAAACTCAGTACAACTTCGCCATTTGGATCCGATGGAAGAACATTGAATGCCATTAGATGATTGTTCTTGAGAACGAACAGAAGCATTATTATGCCAAAGCGTATGATTCTTCTGCAGGTGGTTCGTGTCGAAGCGAGATTCTTCGCCATTAGTTCGACGATTAGGAAGACGTCTTTCATACTGATTCTTCGCCATTAGTTCAACGATTTCCATGGGAATATCATCAGAAGTTCCACTGTCAGATGCCAGGTACACTCTCTGGTTAATCTGTTTACTCTTTATAGCCATAGGTTCCTGAGGATCAATAGTTCTTTTACCATTGCTTCCACTGCATATATCCTGTTCATAAATTTTATGCAAGAAATGGAATTCTGTGAAGCACTCATTATAGTACAAGAACACATCAAAATGAAAACAAAGAAGAACAAAAGAACTGTGTCGGTTGAGAGGAGAACGAAACACTATAAGGGTGTGGAAACCTCTTCATAACAGACGCGGTTTAAAAACCTTGAGGGGAATCCCGAAAGGAGGACAATATCTGCTAGCGGTAGACCTAGGTCGTTACAAGAACTAAGTGGGGAAATAAAGGACATTAGGCATATTCTAATGCGTCTTTAAGCACATACCTTTTGCTGCAGTAGAGACCAGCTATTATCTGTCACATTTCGTCTTGGAATAGGCATGCTCGAGTTGTTCGGCACACGGTCGACCCGTTGGCCATAGAAAATGTTTGTTTCAGCATCTTTCCTTATAAATTTACTTATTCTGGGAGTGTCATCTTGCTCAGGCAGAAAAGTAGGCAGCTCGTTTTCTTCTCGACGACAGATTCTTTTGTGATCCCTTTGTGGATTTGAATAGCTATGGAAAGAAAGATGAAACTCTCTTTCATTGTTCGTATCGTTTTCATATCGAAAACGATGAGCTTTAGCCATACTTTTCATGGCTTCCACTTCTTTCTGTGTAGCTGAATCCTTCCTCGGCATTCCATTGTTCCAAGAAACTAACCCAGCAGGGCCTTCAACCATCAGAGGATCCTGGCTTGAGTTTGTGTTCTTAGATGTGCTAGATTTAGACTCCATGGCATTCATTGATATTGAATATAGAGTTCTATGTGCCATAATGGCAGCATTATCCAATGCTTCTTCATCACTTCGATATTCCGTTATCGCCCGAATTTCGCATTGATCTTGAACTTTAGATGGCACTGAGGACACAGAGTATGGATCAACCACTGGACACTTTTTACTGTTCTTCTTTCTTGAACTTCTGTTTCCATCCACTTTGTTGCTGCTCCAAAGGTCCTTCATGGTCCTATTGATTCCAGGCAGAGCATTTCCAGTTCCTAAACTAGAAACAGAGTTTTCTAACTCCCCACTCCATGCTTGAATTTGCTTATCCTCATTAGAAGACGAGGGAATCCGATCTCGATGCCTGCTCTTTCGGATCCGGGGCAACCTTCTTTGCCTTTTATGATCTGAATTCCAAATATTTCCAACCATAGTTACCTGGCATTTGGAAGCATACGTCGCGTCTACCTGCGCAGATGCCTCGAGCATCCCGTTGGATGGATAACTTTGAACATGTTTATTAGCCTTCATATTCCCATTTTCTCCTAGTAATTCAGTCAACAGACGAATCTTTGGAGTTCTTCGACGATGACAACGACGAGGACAATTTCCAACTGTTTCAGCGCTTTCAGATGATGAAATTGTGCTTTCATTTGATTCCATGGAAGCATCTCCATTGTCTTGAAGTTTATCGGCACAACATGCTCGGTTGATGTCGACCGTACTGTCATTCTCTGATGCCACCAAGGTTAACTCTCCATTTAGATGATCTGCAGGAGTTTGCTTTCGCAGCATAGTAGGAGAAAAGAGTGTACCAGTACTGTAGTCTGCAACTTCAAGTTTCTTTTCCTTTTCATCACAGCCAGAGCGTTGGCAACTCGAATTCGAGGCATCGTCAACGACTGTTCTTCCATCGATCACATCTTGTTTCGGAGCTTTCAGGGAAGCAATCGAACAGTGTCCGAGGCTGTGATAGCTATCAAAGACGAAACCTTCTACAGCTTTTTCAGAGCTATCTTGCCAACGACTTTTACGATGCTGCGCGTCGAAGCTCGGATCATACACAGGTGGGGCTGAGAGTATATGCTCATCCAACTTATGGATATCATCAAGATCAGAAAATGGCCAACAGATCTTCCAATCCTTTTTGCTCATATCAGATACATAACCACTGTTGCATTCATAGATTCAATAAGGAAAAGGGTAGCTACCTCACTTAGCTTGGATAAATTCAAAATGATCATCAAATCTTATTGCATAAACTCTACAAACAAACCCGTCGTTACGACTACAATATCACCACGTAACAGCTCTACGTAAGAGTAGAGATTCAAACTTTTGACCTTTTGATCTATTTTAAACTCTTAACTAATTGAACTATGCTCGGGTTAAAGGCACGTGATATTTTCATTTTCATCCACGGATTGTCACTACTCTCATTCTAAATCTCGGTTCGAATCCTACGTGAGCACTACTCTAGCATCTAGGTTCGAAATCCCTCCCTTACAATACAATATGTTTGAGAATAAAGTCCGTAACCCAAAACCTAGGAAACAACTACATACAAAGTTACGAGCCAACATGAACATATATAACCGAATAATCAAGACATCTTTACCTTCTTTAAATAAGTCGTAAAATGTTATGTTCTTACAAAACAAAAAATACATCATTAACATAACTACGTGTTTACGGTAGCAAAGTCGTCGAAGCTTACCGTATAGAGAACCGTTGGCACTTCTGCCCATCACATTTATCATTGGAGCTAAATAGATCAATATATATAGAGTCAATTTGAATACATTTTTCTGCAGCCTTGGAATCATCAGTCCCATGATTCTTCTCTTCCATCACATTAAT